AAAAAAAAAGCCATTTTCTCTGCACCCTAAAGGCCTTCCTCTGGTAGGTGGAAGTAAGTGGGGACAGCCTATGTGTCACATTTGATACAATGTAGGAGGTGACAATGGGCATAAAGAAAGCTAGAGAATGTGCAGAAGAAGGAGGAGTTATTTGTTACTCCCTTAGGACTGGAGACTTCACTGGGGGCGGGGGAGGTGGCACTGCAGCTGCATCTGAAATATACTGGCAAAGTGGAGATGAATGGGCGGGACATTCCTGCAGAAGGGGACTGCCCAAGCAAAGACACGGAAGAAAAGCATGGGATCAAGCAAACAGATGCAGAGGCGTAGGCGGGCTGGTTAGAGGCAGGGCAGGGCAGAAGGGAAGTGAGACAGGAGTCAGGGGAAGGGCAGCAGATCCTGACAGGCCTGCTCGGCCTCGAATCCTCTGAAGAGAACTGCATCTGCCGGTTTCTTGGATGCCAAAGACCGGCTGGCTGAATAAAGACGGTGTTTCTGAATTCTGCACTTCATGGGCCCATCCAACTGCTCAGATTTTAACAATTCCATACCTCGGCTCTTTTTAAATTGTTTTCTGCCTAATAGGGACAAGGCCATCACTGAGGACAGGGGTGTAAATGCGAGTCAGGCTGTGCGGCTCTTCTTACTGGCTGTGCTCAGTCACCCCATCTGAGGAACGCTCCGTCTGGCCACTTACTCATGCTGGGGAGACTTTGTTCTGCAGCTGAGGGGGTGCAAGGGGAGCAGGTTTTAGAAAGTCAGCTCAGGCATCTTATCAGTCACCTGGGAATTGGAAAAACACCTTCTGCCTCATGCATCTACATATACATTTGGCTTAGAAATAAATTACATCAAAGACCATTCAGTGAGAACTAAGCCACTAAAATCCAGAACACTAAACCCAGCAATGTCACCTAGAGGCACAAAGAAAGGCTAGAGATCATGGAAAGTGCCTTCTGCTTTTTGAAATGGGCAGAAGGGACACTGACAGGAACCTGGTAGAGACACACACATGCACACACCCCACACTCACACTCAACCACACACATACGCATGCTGTTGATAGATAAGGAGATAGAGATCAGAGACAAGCCGGAGAAAATATGCCAGTACCCTCTCCCAGGACTATCTCTCAAAACCCCACGGTCAGCACCCTGAAATCATTATGGCAGCAAAGCCCCCTCCCAGAACCAGCCCTGGCCCCAAATATCCATCATGGTTTCTGAGTGCATCCCCGTGGTGACTTAGAGCCTACTATGATATCACTATAATACAACTACCATGGTTGACATTCCCACTCCCATCATGCACCAGGTGCCTTGACACTTCTGAGACTTCCTAAAAAGGGCAGAAAATGAGCAGTCACCAAATTCCTGAAATTTCCTCCCTTCCCTGGAAAACTCCACCCAAACCCTACACTCTGTGGCACAGAAAGGATGAGCCCAGACCTGGTGGTTCGCAGCTCGTGTGTGGTACTCCTTTGTGAGTGGGTACTAACTTGCTAACATTTATTCACATCCCATTCTTTTTTTTTTTATTTTTGATAGGCAGAGTGGACAGTGAGAGAGA